GCTGTGTTAGTGTCCCTGTTGTTATCAACTCATTAAACACTGATATTAATAATCATGATAAAAACAGTGGACATTTCTTTAACGCTATTTACTGAGACCGTGTTCAGCATTTCTCTTGTTCTCATTTAATCTTTTCAGTAACCCCATGACATCAATCCTATGATTGTCCCTATTTCACATCTGGGGAAACTGAGGTTGGTGGCAGTGAGAGCTCTTACCCAAGGTCAGTCAGCCAGGGGGTGGCAGAGCCAGGATTTGACCCTGACAGCCGGGCGTCCCCCAGGATGCTGTATTTTCTTGACCAAGAAGGACCTGTGGGCAGCCTCAAGAGAAAGAGATGAGTGACACACACTCTCTCCTGCCCTGGGACGGCCTGCTGCTCTACCCACCTGTCCTGCTGCTCTACCCACCTGTCCTGCTGCTCTACCCACCTGTCCTGCTGCTCTACCCACCTGTCCTGCTGCTCTACCCACCTGTCCTGCTGCTCTACCCACCTGTCCTGCTGCTCTACCCACCTGTCCTGCTGCTCTACCCACCTGTCCTGCTGCTCTACCCACCTGTCCTGCTGCTCTACCCACCTGTCCTGCTGCTCTACCCACCTGTCCTGCTGCTCTACCCACCTGTCCTGCTGCTCTACCCACCTGTCCTGCTGCTCTACCCACCTGTCCTGCTGCTCTACCCACCTGTCCTGCTGCTCTACCCACCTGTCCTGCTGCTCTACCCACCTGTCCTGCTGCTCTACCCACCTGTCCTGCTGCTCTACCCACCTGTCCTGCTGCTCTACCCACCTGTCCTGCTGCTCTACCCACCTGTCCTGCTGCTCTACCCACCTGTCCTGCTGCTCTACCCACCTGTCCTGCTCTACCCACCTGTCCTGCTGCTCTACCCACCTGTCCTCCTGCTCTACCCACCTGTCCTGCTGCTCTACCCACCTGTCCTCCTGCTCTACCCACCTGTCCTCCTTATTTTCCTCTTTCCTTTCCTCTCTCCCTCCTCCCCTCCCTTCCTTATTTTCTATTTTCTTTTTTTTTGGGTGGTTGGCCAGTACGGGAAGCCAAACTTGTGACCTTGGTGTTACCAGCACCACGCTGTCCCAAGTGAGCTAACCGGCCAGGCTTTTATTTTCTTTCCTTCTTTTTAGCGAGGTATTGATAACTTACATACATGGAAGTTCATGAATCTTAAGGGTGAGACTCACCGAACTTTCCCTTGTGTCTACCGCTGTGTAGCTGTCACCGCAGTCAAGACATAACACATTTCCATTGCCGAGAAGGTTTCCTGTGCCCCCTCCCAGTCAGTAACCACTCTTCTGACTTCTATTGCCATAGATTCATTTTGCCTATCTTCTAACTTCATTGAAAGCTTTTCCAGTTTTACATAGGAGGAAACTGAGGCTGAGAAGTGACGTGACTTGTTCCGGGTCCCCCAGCTTCTAAGTGGCAGAACCAGGAGGTGAACCCACATCTGTCTGCCACTGCCCCATGGGTCTTCTCATTGCCCATGCTACAAACAGCGGGAGTCAGACCCACAAGAGTTCCCAAACTGCAGTGAATCCACAAAAAGCATTTATTTTTCTTTCAGATGGGCTGATTTTTGGCAGCCCATTGGCCTTTTAAAATTGGTTCAGCCAGTAAAGTCAGATAGCCTTGGCAGGCCCCTGCTGACGGTTGGCTATGGGTGGCAGGAAGCCAGCAGCCCTGGAACATTTGCCTTGGACGCAGAAGGCGGCCATGCTGACCTCATCAGGCAGCACAGGTGATTGAATCATGTATATCCCACAGCCTGGGGCCCTCCAGGAAGGAGCTTGGGAGCAACCAGTTCTGGCCTTACATAACCAGACTGGCCCAGTGTGCTGCAGGCCGGTGTGTTTTCCATTCCAGCCAGCGCCTCAGCCCCTTTGTTCTGGGTGGCCTTTCAGCCCCAGGGAGCCTGGCCTCTGCTTATTCTGGTTAGGAAGGCAGCATCCATGCCTGGGAGAGGCTTCCTGGGGCCTTGCGGGTGAGCTCACCTTGGCGCCACACCTGGGATTCGCCTCGCTTTTGGCTGAGGTCATCCCCAGAGGATTGCCAGGGGGTGACATCATCCCACAATCCCTCAGTGATGCGCAGAGGCCCAGCCTTGCCAGGTGGGAAAGGTGAACAGCTCCAAGGAAGAGTCTTACTCACCTGGGAAGGGAAGTTGGAGGCTCTCCCTCCATGACCATTTTGTTAATCACGTAGCAATTTCATTACTCAACCACCCTCCGGAGTTGCGAGTTGAGGCTGGGGTAGAAATTGGGTGCTGAAGGCTAAGGAGAAATCGATCCTCCTCTAGGTTAACCTCCTGTTCACTTCTCTCCCACCAAGCACAGGCCCATGTGTCCCCTCCCCACACCCTATGGTCACTGAGGGTCCCCCTCATCTTCTCCCTTGACGCTGGATGCTGAGGAGAGGGAGGGGAGGCTGTGGAAAGCCTAGGGCGTAAGGCAGACCTGGGTTGAGATTCGAGCCCAGCCCTTTCCTATTATTTGACCTTGGGGATGGAATACACCCTCTCTGAGCCTCAGTTTCCTGATTTTAAAATGGGGATTGGGAGATTTCATAGGAGCAGATGGGATGATGTGAATGAACGTAGTACCCCCTCCGCCGCCCCCCAGTAGGCCTCCCGCAGCTTAATGAACGGGCTAGGGGTCCAGCAGTCTGAAGGCTGAGCTGCTTCTGTTGCTCTCATGTCGCTGGGAATATCCTTATGGCCCCACAAGGAAACAGTCCCCACTGCCTTTCTGAGCCCACTGTTCCTTAATTGCGCACCAGCTATATCATACTAGGTGCTGAGGGCACAAAGATGGGGACTTTGAAAAAGCGAAATTCCCTTGACCTGGCCCGGCTCGTTCTTTCCCAAAGACATGGCCATTTACGAGGCTCTCCTACGGTCTGATTGTTCAGAGTGGGCAATCTTCCTTTATTTTACAGCCTATGGACAGGACCCAAGAGGCCTAATAAATTATTAACATAACCACAGCCCAGCCACCTCAAGCATTCCCCACTAGGCCAGGCCTTTAGATTTGGTTCCCCGTCCCTGAAGGGAGTTATCTGGGAATCAGAAGTGAGTGTCAGACACAGCTGTCTGATATCCACTTGGCAGCTCCTCAGGGTTGTCTCCAAGATAGCTCAAGCTCAGCACCGCCTCTGGAGTCCCGAACCACTCCCTCCCTGCCAGTCCGGCTCCTTCCAGGGGCTCTCAGCCCGACGTGTGGTCTAGAAAGAAACATGGCAGTCTGCCTGTGTGCCTCCCTTGATCTACCCCCATGTCCCACCTATCCGTCCTGCCTACTCACTGTATCTGGCATCCCTCCCTCCTCTCCATCCCTATCACATCCCAGCCAGGTGGCCATCATATTTTGCCTGGGCCACTACAGCAGCTTCCCATCTGGTCTCCTTGCTGCACTGTGGCCAGAGGGAACCTGTTGAAGTGCAAACCTGACCACGCAGCTGTGCTCAGCCTCTAGTCCCTCCTGAGCTGGCCCCTCCCACTCTCCGACTGCCAGGCTTCCTTTGCTCTTACGCTGCAGCCATGCAGCCTTCATTCAGTTCCCCAAGCCAGCCATGCTCTCCCCACTTCCAGGCCTTTGCACATGCTGTCAGGATTTCCCTTCCCCTCTCTGCCAGGATAGAGCCTCCTCATCCTCTGCACCTCAACTTACATCTCAGAGAAGTCTTCCCAGCCAGCTCTCCCCAAAAGTCAGTCACCCTGCAGTCCCTCTCCTGGCACTCTGCAGCTTTCCATCAAAGTACTAATCGTAGTTGGTGGCAACATGTTTATTTAGGAGGTGAGTAATGTCTGGTTCTAGTGTCTGTAAGCTCAGTGAAGGCAGATGCCACATCTGTCTGGTTCTTGACTGTCTCTGGCACCTGACAGGTAGTGGGTACTCAAAGAATATTTGTTGAACAAATGTGTGTTGTGAACAGATCCAACTCTGTGCTGTTATCCCTGACAGCAAGGTGATGTGGCTGTCTGTGGAGCCACCTGCCCCCTAACTATTATTCTGTGGTCAACAGAATAATGAACTCCAGCTCCCAAAGGTGTTTACATCCCTGTCCCTGAAACCTGTGACTGTGCTACTTTACATGGTAAAAGGAACTTTACAGATATGATCGCATTAAAGATCTTGAGATGGGGAGATGATCCTGGGCTATCCTGGTGTGCCAGATGAAAGTACAGAGTTCTTATAAGAGAGAGGCTGGTGATCAGGGAGCAAAGAGGCAACGCTGCTGGTTCTGGAGATGGATTAAGGGAGGCCATGAGCCTAGGCATCTCCTAGAAGCTAAAAAGGCAAGAAAACGGATTCTCCCCTGGGACCTCCATAAGGAACACAACCCTGCAGACCATTTTAGACTTCTGACCTCCAAAAGTATAAGATAATAAATTTGTGTTGTTTTAAGCCATTAACTTTGTGATCATCTGTTATAGCAGCCACAGGAAACTAATACAGCTATCAAGTCGGTTCTCAGGACTGGTTCCTCCCCTAGGACATTGTGATGAGGAGCATCTGGGAATTCCTGATTTCCCAACTGGATGGGGAGGGATCTCAAGAAAGGAGGCAATAAGGTGCTATGTGCCTGTTGGTGCCAGGCTCTGATCCCTAGTAAGACCCCATTTCTTATTCCAGTATTCAAACCACCCCATTAGCAGAGGATGGTGGTGTCCCTGGTTAACAGATAGGTTCATAGAGGAGAACATAAAAAGAGCCAGAGCCAGGCTTTGAACTTGAATCTGTCTGACTCTGAAAGATGAGTTCTTCCCACCACCCCACCCACCTCCCCCCGAGCAGCTGCCCTTCCTCTAAGTGATAGGGTGGCATTTGGAGGGTGCTGTCGAGATGGGATATGCAGGCTTCGCCCAGATGGGAGTCTGGGTCATCTGAGCAGTGGTCACCAAGTGAAGTGGCCCTTGGCTGTCCCCTGCAGCTGGGATCTGTGCCCCCGGGTCAGTGAAAGTTTCTGTACTTGTCTCTCCCTCAGTGTGAACGAGCTCTATGTCGATGACCCGGACAAGGACAGCGGGGGCAAAATCGATGTCAGTCTGAACATCAGTTTACCCAATTTGCACTGTGAATGTGAGTATTCCAAACAGCCCAGGGCTCCAGCAAGACCCCTCCTTTGGGCAGATCTATGTGTGCATAAATGGGGAGATATCCAGGATAAGCCAAGTGGATGGGGCAAGCTCCAAACAACATGTAGCATGATTCTGCCCACTCTTTTCTTAGAGGAGAATGTCATTGAATATGCATGCACTTGGAGATTTTCTGGAGTAAAAAAGCATAAGAAACTACTCATAGGGGTTACCTGTGGAGAGCAGCTGGGTTGGTGCATGGAGGTGGGGGGTGCCTCTTAGGTCTAGTTTCTTAGAAGCAGAACCTGAGATTCTCGTGCAGGAGGTGTATTGAGAGGAAGAAGCTGTCAGGAAGAGAGAGATGCAGGCTAGGGCAGGATATGCAAAAATGTGTGTTCAGCTGAAGTCCAGTCTCAGCCTGACCTCACAGGATGCTGCAGAGTGTGAATGGCATCATAGAGCTTGTCCCACCCAG